CATTGCCTCCCAAGGTCAGTAAGCGTTTTCAATAGTTTTGTCATTCTCCTTATGATTAATCCCTTGTCATATTACTTATGTCCAACATACGTGATTGATGATCGATAGTAAAAATTAAAGTTAATATATTTATTGAAATTTAAAATTATTACTAATCACATAAATATTAAGGTTAGTATTTATCTGTCTTATTTTTAAAAAATTAAAAAGAAAAAAAACACTTTAATATATGCTTTAAAAATATGATATTTTAATTTTTTTCAATAAGTATTTATTAAAATGATATAATTTTAAAATAATATTTTTTTTAATTTTTAAAAGATAAAACTAATAAGTACTATTTTTTAAATATTGTATGATGCGTCGGCTAATTATAGATAATTCACAAAATGAGACTACATTGAAGAAATTAACAAGTTGAAGGCTTACCATCAGAAAAACAAGTTGAAGACCAAAGTGCAACTAGGAAGAAAGAAATGGAACAAGAATGCCAAGAAGAAGTTTTCCACGCAAAACGGGCTTAAAAATGCAGTGGTCCAATGTATTGAACCCATCTCAGCGGCCCATATTCACTCGGTTCAAACCCACGGCAGCCCTAAGACAAAATCGAGCCCACCTCAGTCGTTTACCTGCTACCAGTTCAAAGTAGCCCAACTCCCTCTTCACCAAAACACATCGTTTAAGCGATGTATTGCTTTAAAAATCAAAGACGCCCCAAGTCCCCCATTTCAGTCGACAGACCTTTTCTCTCCTCTGCAACACCGCCGATCAACTCCTTCATTTTTCTACGTCGATCAAGGAACCAACATCACAACCACGGCCTGCAAACGGCTTAACCACCACCAAAGATCCATCTTTTCACCCTTTCCATACTCGAGAATCTCTGGTGAGGCGACATGACAACGTCGTTCATAACGCCGAGAACTAAATAAAGCAACTTAAGTCCTCAGAAAGATAAAAACCAATCACAATCACCAAACATCAAATGATCAAAAAGAGCTCTTCTCATATATTTTGTGGTTTACTTCACATAATTTATGTTTCCTTTTTCACCAGAATATACTGAGTTAAAACTGATTTACAATGGATACGTTATCATTTTTTTACTTTTTTTTTTTGTTAATCTTTGGAAATTTAAAATTTAAAATTAGTAAAATCCGCATGATCTAATGAAGTTGAAGTCCAATTTATTGATGCAGCTTTAAAGTACAACAATCCACACAATACATTGGTTTCGCACTCCATCTTCTTGAATTATAATCCGCACACACAAAACAAGAAGAAGAAAAAATAGAGAAATGTAGGAGAAAGAAATACAGAATGAAAGGCTACTACCAACAGATAAACATTCATCTTCATTGGATCTTCCTCATCCTTCTCCCCCTTGACAGCCTAATTCGGTAAGTCCTCATCAACCACTCATGTGTTCTTGCAAAAACAATGTTTCCAATCACCACACCAACAAGGAATCCACATCCATAACCCAGCACCACTGTTTTCCAACCAAATTCAGCTAGCAATCCAGAGTCTTCATTTCCTTTAGAGGTTGAAGATGGTGGAGGCAAGGCCTTTGAGTAGTCACATTTCCTTAATAGTGGCCACCCACACAGCCCTGACTTCCCATCAAATGAGCTGTTATCAAATGTATCAAATTGTTGTCCTTTCGGAATAGGTCCTATCAAATGGTTGTGTGAAATATTGAAGACTTCAAGGAAATTGAGCTGCGTTAGCTGCGTGGGAATGCTTCCTGTGAGCTTGTTTTGAGAAAGGTCTAGAGCTTCAAGATTTTTGAGATTTCCCAAGGTTGGTGGGATTGGACCAACAAGGATGTTATTGGAAAGGTTAAGTAGTTCAAGTCCCTTTAAGATCCCTACCACATCTAGAATCTCTCCCTCAAATTTGTTGCAAGAAAGATCAATGGCTGAGAAAATCTCTAGTACCTTTGCATATTCCATCTTCACTCCTTTGTTTGTTATTGTCATTGAGTAAGGAAATGGATCTATAGGTTTTAAGTTATTCCAATCAAATTTGTCATATGCATCCGAGTATTTTGTGTTCTCCTTATCAACATCTGCCATGGCACTCCACACGTTGAAGTATTTTGTTAGTAGAAGACCAACAAATCCATTATGTGAAAGGTCAATGATCTGAAGATTAGGAAACAAGGAATCTGAATCTAGAATATTAATTGCACCATAGAATCTGTTGAAATGCAAAATAAGAATCCTCAATCTGGGAAGAGTTCCCAACCAATAAGGGAACGTATCTTTGATATGATTGTTACCGAGATCAAGAAACTCTAGCATTCTACAATTTGCCAATGATCTTTGCAGCTTTCCCTTTAAATTGTTTGGACCTAGTTGAATCACCTTTAAATTGTTTCCAACTACCCAAGTTGGAGGAATTGGACCTGTGAAGTTGTTTCCTTACAAATTCAAAATCACCAAGGACTTGCTAAAGTTGCCAATACATTGTGGGATCACTCCATTTAGGTTATTATGAGAGAGATCTAGAACTTGGAGAGAAGTTAGGTCACAAAATTCAGATGGGATGTTTCCACTAAATTTGTTTTTGGAAACTAAGAAGAAATTAATGGACAATGGAGGGATTGGTAGTGAAGCTTTAAGCTGGTTAAACCTAAGGTCTAAAAATTCTAGAGTAGATGAAGGAAAGGAAATTGAAAAATTTTCAAAGTTTGTCAATGAGTTATGGGAAAGGTCCAAATATGACAAACTTTTACTGAATTTCCATATCCATTTTGGTATCTTGCCACTAATGTTATTGGAAGAAAGTTCGAGGATTTCTAGTTGGTCTTGGTTATGTAGGAGGCTCGGAAACTCTTTTATATTAGAGTTATCAAGTCCCAGAGTTTTCAACTTTGAAGAAAAGGCGTTGGTACTCTCCCTAGTTTTGATTAACAATGAAAAATTATTTTGGGATAACACTAAAATGTTCCAAGTATTTGAGCTTAAGAAATGAGTCAATCTCAACTGTACCAGTGAAGCTATTATTATCAAGTGTCAAGGTCTGGAGCTTGGTAAGATTACCAAGAGAAGATGGCAATAAGCCTGAGAAGTTGCAATTACCAGTAGTTAAAACCTCTAAAGAATTGAGCATTCCAATTGAGGTTGGTAACTTACCAAAAAAACTTGTGAAATGAACTGCAAGAATCCAAAGCTGGTTGTCGAACTGAAACTTAGGCAAATTACCTGTAAGACCCAGGTTGTAACTCACAATAAAGACTTGAAGTTTTGGTAGTTGGAAAATTGCCCTAGGGAACTCTCCCAACAATCCACAGTTACCAAGACGAATAGTCCTCAAGGATGACATATTTGCTAAGGCACTAGGAATTCTAGAATTTATTTTGACGTTAGAGAGGTGAAGGTATTCCAAGCTCGTCAAATTTTCTATCAATCTTTTTAGGCCTGGCCTTTTAAATTCTAATGATTGTTTTTCTTGAAGGAAAAGGATATCATAATGGGTAGCTAGGTCAAGGGTGGATAAGCCAGCAAGTTTTGAAAGTTCAAGTGGTGTCTGTCCAGAAAAAAATGAATTAGAGAGGTTTAAATAAGTTAAACTTGTAAGATTTGCAAAAGTAGATGGAATCTTTGAATAATTAAAGTCATTAAAGGCGAGATTAAGGTGTTGCAGGTGAATGAGGTGGAAGAGACTACTATTGAAATTGATAGAACCTAAAAGATAGCTATTACTGAGATCAAGGCTTATAACATGACCAGTGTCCTGATCACACCATATACCCTCCCAAAAGCAGCAATCCATCCCTTGGGATTTCCAGAGGTTGACTTTAGGATAAGCAAATGGATCATCAGAAGAAGCATGCTTATCAATGACAAAGCTTTCCTTGAATTGTAACAAGGCAAGGTGCTCATCTCTCCAACACAATGAATGTTGGAAACATCGTTGAAAGAAAAAAACTAGCAAGATGGTTAAAAACAAGAAGTGAGAAAAAGAGGACACCATAATTTGTTCTTGTTTTTATATTTTTGTACTCTTAGAGATGCAAGAAGATCAAGCATGGTGAAGGGCTTATATAGATGACATTATGCTGAAATGGAAGAGTAAAGAATTTTAGTTGATGTATCCCTTATGTACATAAGTTATGGCCCATCAGTGGCCTATTTTTCTATACGTTGCCAAGAAATTAGCTCTTATTTGAATCCATTTGCTGTTGACTAGTAAGTCAAGCGACTCAAACCAAACCTATTTACATCTTAGAAATCAGAAGGAAAAAACAGAACATTTTTAGCCAATCTAACTAGCTAGCCAATATATAATGAATATATTTTAAAGATATATTTAATATTTATTTTAATTAATATTTTATATATTTTTAAAATAATAAAAAAACATAAAAGCTAAAAGATAAATAAAGTACTGAAAAGTGTTATCAAACATGTATTTATATACGTTTTATGAGTAACTCAAATATATTAATGTTTTGCTTTTAGGGATGAAGCACTGGAATAGATGAAAGGGTCGGACATTGTCGTCAATCAGTTGCTACAGGTTCTGGTGAAGGGAGTCAATGTTAATGAAATCGACGAAACCAAAAAATCTCTCCTGAAGGGTTCAGTGAGAATCAACCTGAACTATTACCCTCTCTACAAACAAAGTGCTCTATACCAACGGAAGTCTATACCAATGGACAAGAATTCGTCCGTATAAAACCATATATATTAACGGAAAACTGGAGCAGTTTGTATAAATTGGTCTATACCAACGGAAAAATATATCCGTTAGTATAGAATATGTTTATACAAACGGTTAATTGATTATCCGTTTGTATAGAGTATATTTATACAAACGGATTACTGTTTTCCGTCGGTATAATCCACTGTATCTTAAACGCTTTTTAATTTCAGCCGATCGCACTGCAACAATCATTTCACTTCCCTCTCGAAATCCCTAGCTTCCCTCTCCCAAATCTCCACAATTTGTATTTGATTTTGATAAAACTCAAAGACCCATTCAACCGGCAATAGAAATTTTCACTTCCCTCCACAAATTCCCAAATTTCCCTCCCAAATCCCTAGCTTCCCTCTCCCAAATCTCCACAATTTGTATTTGATTTTGATAAAACTCAAAGACCCATTCAGCCGATAGTAGAAATTTTCACTTCCCTCCACAAATTCTCATTTTTTCTCCCTTAATCTCGAGCTTCCCTCCCCAGGTAGACTTAGGTGTTTTGCCCCTCTACCAAATCTACAAAATCTGTAATTGATTTTGATAAAACTCAAAAACCTAAGTGCTTTGGTTCCCATCCAAGCAGTCCGCCCCCTCGCCCTTGTCCCCAGCAACCGCCACATCCCCAGGGCCACCCTTCCCCACAACACACTTTCCAGATGCCTCCGGCTCTGGAACACTGGCAACCACAACCTCGTCAAACCTATCAGGAAGCCGAGGCATCATGCCGATCAAAGCATCTCCCTTGGCATTGTAGGGACTAGGATCTTCTAGGCAGCCAAGTTCATCATCATCATCATCATCATCATCATCGGCGTCGAAGAGCTTGGCTTCACGGTAGAGGCAACTTTGGCATCTCCCTTGGCATTGTAGGGACTTTGGGGTGCGCAACAAACTTTTTGTCCATTCTCCAAAGATAGCAAAGAAAAAAAAAATTACAGGATCTCTCTTAGGTAGCTCTCTCTTCCTTACTAATTCTACAATTAACTCTGTGTTTTTGTTCGATTTCGTGTTCTTCTCGTTTAAGCTAACTACGTATGGCGATCTACGATTTGGCGCGTTGTTGTCTTAGGGTTTAGGTCATGGTGTCGAAGCGAATCTTGAAGGAGCTCAAGGATCTCCAGAAAGATCCTCCAACCTCTTGCAGTGCAGGTTCAATTCAATTTCAATCTCTCTTTTATGTTCGATTTTGCGTTTTCGCCTGCTAGATTCATTGCTCTGTTTTTTTTTTTTCCCTCTCTCTCTTTCTTTCAAGTATTAGTGTGGCGATTTGTTTGTGTTTGAATTTTATGAGAAAATAGTCTTTAATTTCATTTATAACGAGTTTTTGAATACTTTAATGTCGATGGTGATGTATTGGAGGAGTGCTAAGCTTTAAGCACGACGAGCTTTTGGTTCCTTCTTTTCAATTGAAGGCTGAGACCTGAGAGTCAGTGGAAAATGATGTTTCTTCTCAATTTTCATTTCTTTTTGAGGTTTCTTATAGTGATTATGAGTTAAGTCAAGTTATTTTAGAAAATTAGGAGCTAAATTAACTCCGAGATTGTGATTTTTTTTTAATTATTATTTTGAGATGACGAAGAAGTTATACTTCCAATTGTAAATTTCTATTGTTTTGTTATTTTCCTGGACAAGTTTAGAGTTTCTGGTTGGTGATTATTTTTAGATTCTTGGTTTAGGGCTATTAGATTTTAGTTTTGTTGAGGATTCTGTTCGAAATCTCTCTCCTTCCCAAAATTTGTAGAATCTAGCACAAAGGTAAGTTTAAACTCTCCCCTTCTTCCCCACAATTGGCAGAATCTCTATAAATTTCAATTGTATATTGCAGAGCTTATAAATTTGTTGGTTGTGGACTTCTTTTATCTTTCAGTTGCTTGAGATTAGGGTTTGTGGTTTTATTTTTTATTCCACTTTAAGTATATTCCTGTTGTTTTTTAGCATGCATCTATGTTGGACAGAGTATGGATTGTTCCAATGTTTGGATGATTGGTAAATTGGTAGACCTGGATAATTTTTTTTCTCTTTTGCTTTGCAAGGTTGGTAGTGCTTAGCTATTGCAAGGTTTGAAAAATTGAATATGATATGTAGACAGCTAGATATATCTACTATTGCTGGACTTTCAGTAACTTTAGATATGAAATGCACACACTTAGAAGTTGTTTGCCAATCTCTGGTAGAGTTTGGATGATCAATCTTTGTTTCTTTTTCATGGAGCTTTACCTTGCTTTGATTTTGCTATATATTATCCCTACCTTTAATGGCAAGCAGAAAAAGAAAAAAAAAGCTTTTAATTACTTGGAAAGTTTATAATTGGTTATTCTTTCCTTTCTTCTGTTTAGTTTATACCCCAGAACAATTGGTAGAGAAATACATCAACATCACGTTTCTTCTTTACTGTCTGATTTTGATATTAGTTGTTGCATTACATCACTCCCTTTACAGGTGAGAGGTGTGGAACCCCTTACATTTTTTTGTTGTAATGTAATATTGAATTGCCATTATTTTAGCCATTCTAAAATAAACTGAGAAACCTTTGCATCTAGATGTGTAGGAGAGGAGAACTTTTGCTTGCTGTTTCTGGACAAGATCTTAGACCTTACTAGCACATGTTGCTACCTTTTTCCTATGCTGTTGTTTCAGGTGCTGTGGGATCATGCTCGATATTATTTGCAAAATCTCTGTAAGTTTGCAATGTTAAATATTTTCATTGCCCTTTCTCAAGTAACTCGAACAGTTAGTCTGTAGTTTGATGACTCTAGAGGTATTTGATAATGAATTACAAAAGGAGCTTTAATGGATTTGCTGCCAAGCTCACTGATCATGAGGCAAAAAAAGCTAGAACGTAAGTACGCAAATAGATTTATATTTTTTTTAATATTAAATGGCTAGATAATGCTTTCAAATTGTTATGATGTGTAGGAATGAATGGAGTGGCCTCTGTTTTTTCAAATACAACTTTCCATCTACAAACAACACAATCATGGGATTTCTTAGGTTTTAGGGTCCCATCTGGTGAAGCTTCAGGGCTTCTAAATGGATTTTGAAGGAACTCAAGGATTTGCAGAAGGTTCTCCTCATTTTCTGTTTCTTTTACCTGCGTTTCTGTTTATGCTGTCTTCAGTGGGGATGGTTCTTGATGGAAATTTTCGATTGGTGATTTAATTTTTAGTTGATGTTGAGTGTTTGCTTTAAATCTTTTCTTTTGATCTTTCAACTTTCATCACGTAAGAAGGCGAGGACATGCCTTTCCAAAAAAAAAAAAAAAACAAAAGGGGTTTTCTTCTTCCTTCCCTTCCCTTTCAGACTTTAGACTTCCTTTCTCTTCCACCTTTCGTTTGCTTCTGGGTTTAGATGGGTCGGTGATGGTTGCCAGTGTCCGATGAGACCTTTGGGGCTCCTCTATCCAATATATCTCTCTTCTTGGTGGTATCTTGAAGTTTTCTATCTCAATTTGTTACGCTTTCTCCTGCTTTTTGATTTAGATGGCGATTGTTGATGCTGGAAAGGGGGAGAGCAAGTGGCGTGAATTAGACATATTGAGGAGGTGGGTTTTATTTGATCTTGTGTTGTGTATTCTATTTGTTCATGTGTATCTGTTTAGTTCTTTTAATTTCTTACCACAAATTATTTTTATAATTCTTTCTTTTCTGTTTTGCAGTTTCCACCTAATTCTTTGGAAGAAGAAACTAAAGGAAGTAAATGGATTTTATCAAAATTGAAAAAGAAATTGAGAAAAAGGGAATTATTAGAAGCAAGGGATTCCACAGCTTCAAGTATACATAGAACTGAGCTATCTCAGATCTAGATCAACTCCGGTTATTCATTAATTTTGATTTGCCATGAATGATTTACATTGTTGAAACGGGAGCATGATTTTCATTTTTGTTTGTTTAGATCATTGGTAGCTGATTGTTCTCTCCATATGATTTTTAATTGATTTGTTTTGAAATTCATATGGTTGTAATTGAGTCTTTTTTGTATTGTTTTTTATTTTAACTTTGAAAGCTTTCTTTTTTTATAGTTAGATCATATGTTGTAGTCTTACGGATTCATTATCATTTGGTTTGTGACTTTATATGTTGCCTGAACTAATTTTAGGCACCTTGGTTGAATCCATACTGATTGGGTCTAGCGTTTACTCATCATGTGTGTTTGTGCTCAATGTTACCCATGACTTAATCCCATTCATGGTTTAGAGTTGAGTTAAGTAACTATTAATTTTATAAGCCCTGGAGTGGTCTAAAGGGCATAATTGATTGGCTTGATTGCTAACAAGTTTGCCAACTCTTTTTATACATGTTTGCAATTCATCTCAAATTGATTTTGGGTAGTGTTTCTTTATGGAAATTTTTCATGGCTAATTTTGCCAACTACATTGAGCTACAACCAGAGGTGATTTATACATGCCATTAAGAAATTGCAGAGGCTTATTCTTTCTTTCCACAGTTAGGATAGTTAAAAGCATGTTTGCAAGTTGTAGGGTGTCAACCAGATTATTTGGATGAATTCAGTTTTGTTTCTTTTCTTGATGTTGCTTAAGTAGTTAAAGTTGCTAAATTGATGGTTGTTTGTGCTTCTTTGTTGTTACTTGGTTTTAGCACAGGTTCTAAAGGGAATCAAACTGATGGTGAGAGGCAAAGGGGAAATGGCGATACAGGTGGTGGAAGAGGTATTTTGTTTTTCAATGTCCCCCATTTCTTCCTTATTTTTTTCCTCTATGTTTTATCTCATTTCATTTTCACTTTTTGGGTTTCTTTGCTTTTGTGAGATTTAAGCACTAGAATAGTTAATAGGAGAAACACAACCCTCTCACAGTTGCTACAATGATCTCATTGTCACACGGTGGGTTTATAAACACCATAATAAACTCTTCTTTCGCTAAAGTTTTTATTTATGTTGCCTGCAAACAACTATGGGAGCTTGAATAGTTATGAATTTGTTGATCATTTATATTGTTTAACATATTTGTGAGATTTGTTAGTACATTAGAATTTCTTTAGAGATTTGTGACAGTAGAGCAAGAGATTGAGTAGATTGAGTTTAATTTTAGTCAGATGAAGCTGCTGTGGCTATAGATGCAGATGGTTTTTTTTTTCTTTTTTTCCGGGGTCTATACCAATGGATTATGCATTTGTAAAGGTAAAAGTCTATACCCACGGCAAATTTTTTTTTAAATTTCTCAGGGTCTATACCAACGGACAGGTCTTCCGTGGGAATAGTCCTAAGGGTTTATACAAATGGATTAGGCATTGGTATAGACCCTATACTGACGAGGTTTCTACTGACTGAAAGTTCTTTCGTCAGAATAGTCCTTGGGGGTCTATACCAACGGAAAATGGGTCTATACAGACGGAAAACTTCCGTCAGTATAGGTACATTTCCTTGTAGTGTACCAAAATGTGAACTGAATGAGGAAAAATCACATAAATTTTCAAAAGCTTAATTTAGGTCAGTCCTCTTTTTTAAAATATACAAACAAAATCAAGTTTTCTTTAAGCGTTTTCAATGGATTTCAATAACTTTTACATGAACTATTTTTGATAGCCTAGCTGGTTCACGAGTCAAGTTTAAAATTTGATTCAGTCTTTTTTTTAATATATAAAAATGTAATCCATACGTTTTAATTCATCTAGCATTTTTAGTAAGTTTCAATAGTTTCAATTTGAGACACAATTAATACTTTACATAATTTTTTAATTAATTTCACACATATATAATTATCTTATATAAATTTATAATCATAATGTGTCGTCATATAATTGATTTTTTTACTCAAAAATTTATTTTTAATTTTTTATGTTTCTACTCATTTAATATAATATTATAATTATAAATTACAATTTTACGTACTATTGTAACTATAATATTACTAATTAAGAAAATCTATCTAGGACATACTTGGTATGTATATT